TAGGATTTGAAAGGCAGAGTTGTATTCTAATTAAATTACTACCTTTGTATTTGCCCGTAGACAGAAAGCCGCGAAAAACCCGATGATATCCATTAACGCGGTGGACATTTACATCGAAGTACCTCCTGAATACAAGTCTACAGAGTTACGGCTAACCTGCTCGGTTTTAATCAGTTGGTTAAGAAATTTTCCGTATTTTATGGAACTCGACGGTTAATACTGTACTCACAAGAACACGCCGCTGAATCCTATACGAATCAAGAATCCAGTCCACATTCTCACTATTATTTTTACTAATATTTTTGAAGGGAATAAATTATCAAGCTTCTCGTTATGTGTTTTCGTATTCATGCTGCGTCCTCTTTCTTAGGTTTTTCGTTATGTGTTTTTGTATTCATGCTGCGTCCTCTTTCTTAGGCTCAAGTATTCCTTCTATGAGAAATCATTGACATAGGTAATTATGATAGGTCTAAAGATAAAGGACAATTAATTCTGATTTCTGCAAATCTGTCCCGCAGATACCAGTAACCATTCTGTCAATGTTGCTGTTGATTTTTCTTAGATAAATCGTCTTTCGTGTTTTATCACGAAAACAAAATATATTTACATTTCAACCCTTTACTTTAATATTCACTGTTGTCCATACACCAACTCAAAATATTATTACTAAAAATTAACCTTCTTTAAAAACAGCAGCGCTGAATTTATTTATCATCAAGTTACATTTGAATTTCAAACTAGTGTAACAAATAAAAAATGTGAATTCGGTATTTATTTTTATATAAACTAGCATTAACGGTTTTATTCAAAAAACTATTTATAGAGAAGCCAGTATCTGATATGGTCGAATAATCTTGGCGTATCGACTCACGTGTCGGAACTAATCGATTGTCCGCAGTCGGGTCAGTTATTTTGTTAGAAAGAAAGAAGGAAAAAAGAAAGAAAACAGTGTTAAAACAACGTAATAAATGGTAATTGCTGTCCTCCTGAAGCATAGATTTCCTCAGCCCAATATTGTCATTAATTGGAGACACGTCGTATGCAGAACAGTAGTCACGTGACAGGGATGAATGATGACATTACTTACCAGTCCAACACGAGCCGCTGAGAAGAGAAGGATCACGACAAGGCTCCAGCACCCCAAGTTCCGGCTCAGGAAGTGGCAAGAGATGAAACTCGACATGGATGTATTATACCTTGAATGAACACGCCAGAACACAGAGTGTTAGGGACCAACTGGCGACTGACCCACTCGCTCGGCTCAGGTTGTATCCCCTACTACACAGACTTCTTGTTCTGCTTGGCTCTGTCCTCGTGCAGGCAATCAACTGCCGAGGCAGTCCAGTCGTCTCAGCTGCTTAGCATTCATTTGCGCTTACCATATCGGGACCAAGATCGATTATACAGTAACACCTGAATTGGACGGAAAGATTGGTTAAAAACGGAGAGACTGGTTTACAGTAACACGTGGATTAGACGGAGATGTTTTCTCAAATCCAGAGAATTTGAAAACTAATGTAAAATTATCTGAAATCTACGAAAAGGAAATGAAGGTAGTCTGCTGACTTAATAAGTTTTCTGTGGTGTCCTTCCTAGGATTTATCTGGGAAGGAATGTTTGTGTCAAAAATGCGAAAGAATGAACGTAAGCTGAAAGTGTTCTCTGCTCAGAGTGGTGTACGAATATACAACATGGAAAAGTTAACTGACTTCTCTGGGGTTTGCATTGCAAGCAGGTTTTACTGTTTTGAACTACATATAGATTTTAAAATTTGGATATTTCAACAACACCACATACAGATTTTAAAATTTGGATATTTCAACAAGTACTGGAATTCGTCTCTTATAATGTGCCTCACTAGTGAAACCGAAGTCATAAATAATAAAACGAGTCGTAATACTTGTTAATAAAATTTTAGGCTACGGGCTAGATTTATGGCGGAGGGCGTTGAGAATGTTCCTTAATTTTCTCATCCAGATCGGCTTCGTGGTCTAATTAGCCTTCTAACCTTTTTTCAAGAATAAGGACGTGAAATCCTCAGAACTGACCTCCACCTTCTGCTAATTTTGTGTGAATTCTTACCTCCACTTCTGTAAACGCCTTCAAGGCATGGCGTCTAAGCGCTGGCCAGACTTTTATGCGGCAGTTTTGTTCGGTTCGGGATCTGGGTACCGTGACTTCGATTATTCACGGTTTCTACTCCGTATTTCAACAGACGGGGACCAGCAAAGTAATTATTCAGGCGTCAAAGAAAGCCCTTCCACAATGTTGTACAGCAGCTGATGTGAAACAAAACTTTGCTGTACATGCGTTTACAAATAAAGAAATTCGCAGTGGTAGCACTTTTAGTTTCCTGATCACTTTGTCCGAAGTTTATGAAATTTCATACTGAAGATCTTTAATTTGTTGAGAAATATAAATTTTCAAGATACTGACCAGTAAGTACTGACACTATGGTTTAACACGAGATTATAACGAAACGTTCCTGTGATAAGTACAGGCATTAATGACAAGCAAGTTTAGGTATATGACATTTTGGACTATATTCTTTACGCACGATGAGATAAGTTGACGGGTTTGGTAATAAATAATTTAAACGAAGTCAAGTTAGTCACGTATTTACGGTCATATTTCTCGTTACTTAAAGAACGTGGTTGTAAGTTATGCGGTGAACTAGTCATGTAATATAAATAGGGGTAGAAACATTACAAATTCATACAAATAATATTATTCGCACTTCATTAGATTTATTGATTCGTGAGATCTGTTTAGATACATTCAACACACTATATGGCGAGCGAAAAGATATGGTTTGTTGTTATTTCTACTTCGTAGTAAGTTCTAAAGATAACCTCTGAAATAAGCGCTGTGTAAAACGGTTTATGTCTTCCACAGTTCTGCAAACAAATTATGTTAGTATATTTTGTGTTTGGAGTAGTGCAAGACCGCTAGCTAAGTCACTGGCAGTGTTAGCTTAGCAGTAAATGAGTAGGAAGCTAAACAGTATGAACAAATATAACACGGAATTTGGGTCCCTTGGGATGTCTCTCGGCACTCACCAAGTTGTTGTTTAAACGAGAACTCACTAATGTATTCAAGCTAATGCACTTCACAGCTCTTCTCACTGTTTAGTATATTTCCACTAATTACACAGTCATTTAAGTTACATAACGAAACTGAAAACAAAGAGTAACGATAAACTAATTGACTCGTTAATTACCTATTTTAGACTGTTCAGTTATACAGGAAGGAAAATGTAACAGAATGAATAATGAATGAATGTGGTGGTGTAATGGTTAGAAATCCTGTTTTGCATTTTGCAGATCTCGGGTTCGATTTTAGACGTGGAGAACAATCATCCTGACGGGATTTTCCCTCTCTTATTAAAGTTATAGGACTTTACCTTAAAAAGATAAGGATCAGTCATTACTATGTCTCTTTCATAGACAGACCAGGGTCTTTTAGGTTAATAAGAGCGTGTTCTTCCTTACAAGTCCATAAAACTTTCTTTTAGTCTTCATTAAATTGTCATTTTGGCCACAGAATAGAGTGATGTGAAGATTCTCTAAAGGTGAAAAACCTGTGTCATTCATAACCAAAGTCTGTTATCTGAGGATCGTAGTTGGCAGTAATGCTTGGAATAATACTATTTTTACTTGCCTTATCCATTGTATTTTTACTATAATTAAAATATTAAATCATCAGATGCAACTATACAAGTACAGAGTGACGAAGGAAGTGGATTAAGGATGGAGAAAGCGTAAATTGGATTAGAGTTTGACAGGGAACCTATTGAACAGAAATTAAAATAGTCGTAAGAAAAGAACGTGGAAATAATTGACTTCTTCTCCTGGATATAAAATTTGTGCCATTGCTTTCTTTGCTTTGTTTGGACATTGAGAAATTTAGTCCGTGTTCTCAATTTTGCAAGTTTCAATAACACTTTCTTTCATGACCCGTCGGCCGCGGACGATAAATGATACCCTGAAGTCACACATTTTAGCTGATGACACTTGTAATAGCCATGTAAAATGTCTGACTCTATAGAGCAGAGTCCTTCTTGAGTAGCCAATAGTCTGTCAGCTAATCAGGACATTTTCTCGGTCTTCTGTGCATCCGAAGATTTATTGCCGTGCTTACTAAATTCTCTCTAGGGCTAGCTGAATTCAGTTCACACTCTCACTTTGTGTTTTCATCCTTACATCTATGGCTACGTCTGTCAAGTGTTCTTTTGCCTTCAAATTGTCCGGCCGAAGATTGGAATGCATTTCTAACCTCGCCCCACCCGTTTTATCCTGATTTTATCACCTTAATAATATTTCAAGCGTATAAATTATTAAATTCCATTGCATGCCGAATTAAAGCCACGTATAGTCTCCCATCGATCAGACCAAACCTGAGATCATGACAGGGGTGAAACTAGAGAGACAGAACGATTTTATCGATTTTTCTAAAACCCTGAAGGCGGAGGCAGTATGTTCCTCCAAAACTACGGTATCTATCTATAAATCAACATGGTGGTATAACCTGGAAAACCAAAATCCGTCTTCACCGACTTGAAAACTCAAGTTCTCATATACGATAAATTATCACTCTATTAAACTCTTAAATCTTACTACTTTATGAAACAGAATTATCAGAAATGGAGTGAAAAATAAATAATTTATTTTATGTGCTAATGTAAATGCTTTGATTTACATGTGTATTGAAATAAGTTCCTCGTATTACAAGAGGATTTGTGGGACCATTCCTGGAATTTGACACAAAAGATATACAGTATGTAACTTCAAGAGCAATGTTATTTTTGAGAAGCTTATAGTAGTTCTGCTAGTCACCACATTACCCGTCTTTCATAGAAACTAAAGGCTCATTACCGTATTCACAGGAGCCTTTGTCAGTCTTCATCCTGAGCCACTGGTTTTCAGTATTCTTCAGTTAAACAATTTTTTCACCTTTTGCTTATTATCATAAATATCATCATCGATAATTAACCTCTGCATTTAATACACAATGTTTTGAAGCATGTAAACTAATTAACACTCACATCTGTCGCTTCTCCGTTCAAAAGTTTTCATCACCTATCGATCACTAAGTATCGAAACTCATGTATCCCAAAGGCTAGAATTAATATTCTCCTCATCTAAGTTTTTATAACATCTTCTACTGTAGTGACATGCAATTTCATGAAAGTTTGTCTGTTATGTTTTTAGATCATTTTGTAAACAAATAAGTGCGAAAATAACATAATGTTCACCATAAAATGTATTTCTTTGCTCGGTCGAGTGTTTATCGAGACATCTATTTATTAGTGAATGCTAACAAGATTTCAGTCATATTTTAAATTATTTCACTTTTAAGCAGTGCTCCTGAAACAGTAACTATCAGAAATTTATCTGCATGTCACTAGAGGTATCATATTTTATCAATAAAAAAGTGGTCACATTTACATTTATATACTTGTAGATTGCAGGTGCCATAAGTTTCTTGCAGTTCAGTTGTTTTTGTTTTCAAATTATGCTAGATCGCGATAACTGCAGCATGTGCGAAGTTTGCTGTAGTAATAAACTGTATTTTTTTCGGAATGCCCAAAAGTAACCATTATTTGGAAACACCTCTTATGAAGCATGTATGCTTTTTTAATTGATGCAGAAGCAAGAACCCTGCATGTTCTTCTTGACCCAATCAAAGTATCGTGATACACGTGTGTAGACTCCAGGGTACCCTGGGCGTCCGCAGCCCACACCCCATGACACGATACCTGCAACAAGAAACAGGTGAAGGGCTGAGGCTGTACGCTTTAAGTAACGCTCTAGATATTCTTATTTTCATCACTAAAATGACCAACACAAACGAATGGGGGTGACACAGATATAAATATATACATATAAATTTAGTCTACTTCACGCTTGAAGTAACTAAATAATTTATACACTAATTGTGTGAAGCCGATTGGCTCCTTCCTGAGCAATTTTTTGGTTTCCAATTACTTCTTCTGTCTTAGATCCAAACATTCTCATCTGCTCTCTGTCCTCAAACATCATCGATCTATGTGAGTCAAAGACCTCCAATAATGACTTTTTAAAGTTGAATTTTGTTATTAACTTTGTACTTTTTGCTTGTGTATGTGAAAAATATCGTAAAAACATGTGTTTACCTTTAGTAATGTATTTAATTATTTAAACTTACCAGCGATTTCAAGTTTATCATCTGCTGCTTGTATTAATAGAGGACCTCCGCTATCACCCTGAAAAATACATTATTAACAAAAAAAGCTATAGTACACAATATAATAATTGTTATTTTATATGAACATTACAGTCTCTGCTGTCGAGAGTTTGTCACACGAATTAGAAACTAATGCATATTAATTGCACTGAACTCTGTGTTGACCATTTCTGGTTCTCCATCTGGTCAGCGTATAAAACGTGTACAAATATTGTAAGGAAAGAAAATTGCGTTGTAAGTTTCTGGTTAAGATACCAAAATTCTTACTTTTTCGAATATTGTTAAATAATAAATTATCTGACGCCTTATATATATATATACACTCACCACTTTAGTGTCTGAAGAATAGAAAAATTGACCAAGCATCCGATACGCTTTCTGATGAGAACGACTCCAAGAGCTTTACTGAAGACATGTATGTGGGACTGAAAGTTGTGTCTGTTCACCCAGGGGACTACTCAAAAAGCCAGACTGTGGGCATCTGGAATGACACTGACCTGGCACGAGTCCTCGGCCCCTTTTCCAGCGCACAGCATGTTGCCTGTGATGCGGGATGGGCGGTACTTCATCTGCCGGCATTGCTGAAGGCTCAGAATGGGCACCTGCACTTCGTGAACCAGTGCTGGTAGCATACCTCCTTCCGACGTTCGGCCCCATCCGATAACAGTACCAACACGTCCCGCCGGATCCGTACCTGAGTCGTCAGAAATACACTTCAGAGATCTGATTTGCAAGGCCGCTGTGTCCTAAGTTGTCTGATAGAAGTTTATCGACGTTTCGGAGGTGCTTGCTGCCTCTATCATCACGGCAATGTTCAAGGCGGTTCTCGCCCTGATTATGGAGGGAGCAAGCACGTCTGAAACTCTGTAAACTTTTACCAAAATACACGGCGCTACAACTCAGAAGACAGCAATTTTCATACTCACCGTCGTGAGAACTTCAAATCCGTCTGAACTGAAGATCAACTTTTAAATTCCGCCAGGAAACGAAATTTTTTTTGACGGTTGTGTTAGAGTATTTAAATTTCTGCTTCATATTCGGGAAGTCACATTTCGATTCTCGGTATCGATTAAGGCTTTTCGTGATCTTATTTAACTACTCAATTTCAAATTCC